TAGGTTCCGGGGATTGAATTCAAGTTCACAGGCTTATACAGGAAGTGCTTTTACTTGGTGAGCTATTTCCCCAACCCGAGAGAGAGAGAGAGAGAGAGAGAGAGAGAGAGAGAGAGAGAGAATGTGTTACATGCCTGTTGTGGTGGTATACACTTTTAATCCAAGCACTCAGGGCAGAGGCAGGCGGATCTATGTGAGTTGGAGGCCAGCCTGGTCTAAAACAGAGTTCCAGGACAGTCAGGGCTACACAGAAAAACCCTGTCTCAAAAACAAACAAAAACAAAAAACCAAAAAACCAGAAATACGTAGCATAAATACTTCCATCTAAGTGATTTCTAATTATATGGTTCGGTCTCCCCATCTTTAAGTGGTATCATTAACTTACCTGCACCGTCTCCCACTTACTACTTTGTCTTGTTTGTTTTGGTTTTCTATTAGCGCCCACCAACATGTTTCCTAATGCCAACCCTGTCACCCACTTTTTTGTATTGTCTTCTGTCTGAACTGCTTACAAATCCAATCGGCTTGCATCCTGCTTACTTGCCTGAGCTGTTTATTAAAGTCTAATGGTCACGTCTGTGTATCAAACACTGACTTGGGTAGATCTGTTGGGTCGAGAATTTAATGTTATTGTATAGAATTCCAAACGCTTGTCCTCACCGGAGTTCTCTGAGGCCAAGCAACTGGACCGTGGGAAGGGGTTTTCTCTTTGGTTATCCTACTCCTGTGTAGGCTCTAAAAGGAATGTCCCTGCCTGCATGTGCTTTGCTATGCTTTTCTGCAAGGAACAGAAGAGGCTCCCAGAGGGAACTGGAGCTTAGCAAGGGAGTGCGCGCGCGCACACACACACACACACACACACACACACACACACACTTGTTGCATGCACTCAAGTGGCTACAAAGTGCTGATGCCTGGAGATTCTATGTCCATATAGGTTAGCTTTAACAGCAATCTTGGTAACTCAGATTAGTTAAGACAGTCATTGAACACATGCCGCATGCCAGGTTCTGTGTTAAGCACTCAGGGCCCAGAGATGAAGATTATAATAAACCTGGATTCCAGGAGCTCGTGCATTCACGAGGGAAACTAAAGCACAAACCACTGACTCTAGAAAAATTGGCACAGTAAGGTATGGTGGTATACACCTGTAATCCTAGCTCTCAGCCTGGACTATATAGTAAGTTTCGGCCTCAAAAAAAAAAAAAAAAAAACCAAATAAAAAAAACAAAACAAAAACAGAGCTGAGGTTGTGGCTCATTTAGCAGAGTGCTTGTCTAGCATGTGGGAAGCCTTGGGTTCCATTCCCAGCCCTGTATAAATCAGGCATGATAGTGCAAGCCTATAATCCTCTTGGGAGGTGCAGGCAGGAAGATCAGAAGTACAAGATCACCTTTGGTTATATACCAAATTCAAGATCAGCCTGGGATACATGAAATCCTGCTCCCCACACCACCACCACCAAAAAAAAAAAAAAAGGAAAAGAAAGGAGATGTGGGAGGAGAAATGGAGAAATCACTTGCTTTGGGACTGCCTTGCTGAAGATGTGACACTTGACTGGGTCCTGAAGGACACTCATCAGATGCTTTCTAGCTAGAAAAGGGTGTTCTAGTCAGCGCGGGCAAAGTCTCTAACACAGGGGCTGCCCGTGGGGAAATGGCCCAGAACATATCAGGACTTCCCAAAGGAAACTGTGTAGTCTCCAGTTTTGTCTCATGCAGGCCTCTGTGTCTCTGGGAAGGACGAGATGCTATACATCCTTGTTTAACACTGAGAAGTCTGAGACTTCAGCTGGTCCCTGTTTTAACCAAGGAATTCACACAGCTTGGGGCCTGGACTGTAGCCCTTTGATGACAAGTCTGGGATTCCTTCCAAGAATGCTCTGCTGTGCCCCACACCTTGAAGGGATGGCCAGCATCCTAGGAAGAGTCTGGTGACCCTGGGCCAATGCTTAGCACGTCACTACCACCACCTCCCTTCTCTGTGAAAGGGAGCCAGGAATAACTCACCAGACACCTCTATCTGGAGCACTGGGGCAGCAGCTGAGTCCCAATAAGCCAGGTCACAGCCTGAAGTTCACAGGGGCCACTTCCCAGGCTTCTTGGAGGCTGGGAGGGAGAGCTGCCAGGTCAAACAAATCCAGGGCAGTCTGGGAGGGAAGCTGGGACTTGTGCAGAAAAGAAGTGAAGGACGAAGCAGCCAAGACATCCACGTGCTCCCAGTACTGAGCTCCAGCTTCTGAGGGGAGCTGGGGAAGTCACTTGGGCCACACCCAGCCATGTCTCAGGCATTTCTCAAGCCTCTGATTTGTGTTAGGTTCTCAAGAAGTTGACAAGAAACCACACAGATGAATGGGAACTTAAACAGTGTGTGTCTCACGACCAGAAGCCTTGCCTAGGAGAGAGGGACTGAGGCTGTGCAGGGTTACCCTGTGAGGTGCCATGGTAACATGTGGACCCTTTGAAGGTTCTGAACAGAACTCAGTATGCCTGGGAGGGAGGGAGGGAGGGAGGGAGGGAGGGAGGGAGGAAAGAAGCCACAGAAGACAAAGCACAAAGGGGCTGCAGAAAAGAGGGCAAGCAAGGTTTAGATGCCAAGCTAAGCGGCGACCCATGCATTTAGTAATTCATTTAGCCAGTATACTGGGATTCTATTATAGTCTAAGTTCAGTGCCAGCTTATAAGTGAGCACTGCTTTTTAAAAGGCTTTTAACATTCATTTATTCACTCATGGGGGATATGCATGTGCCACGGGCACTTTGTGGAGCTCAGAGGACTTGTGTGTGTATGGGTGGGTGGGTGCGTGCATGTTATTGGCATTGGCCAGGAATGGGTGTCTGATTCCCTGGATCTGGAATGATAAGCAGGCTATGCGTTGCCCAATGTGGTCGCTAGGGATGCAGCTCGGGTCCTCTGGAAGAGTAATTTATCAGCTGCAGCATCTCTCCGTCCCTCGGAGGATGGCTAGCTGCAGTTGGTTTTCTCCTTCCGTCGTGCTGGCCCCAGGGATGAACTTGGATTATTATCAGGCTTGGCGGCAGGTACTTTAACCCGGTGAGCCATCTGGTTGGCTGAATATACAATGTAATGTTTAATAAATGCTAATTTCCCCACACGCATGGAGTCAATAATCCATGGGGCCCAAAGGAAGGTTGTATTGCAGCTTCTCTCATTGAGCGAATAATATAACTACAGTCAGGTGATGCACACCTTTAATTCCAGCACTCAGGAGGCAGAGGCAGGCAGATCTCTTGAGTCTGAGGCCAGCCTGGCCTACAAAGCGAGGTCCAGGACAACCAGAAGTACACAGAGAAACCCTGACTCGAAAAACAAAACAAACAAAAAAATGTAATTACAAAGAGTGGAAGCAGTTTATCTAGTAATAAGGATATATTTAAGCAAATTACTGTATGTCTTTATAATGGAATATTATGTAACAAAGTGAAGTTTGAAAGCATAGGAGAAGTACTTGTAGTTCTAATAACATACAAAAACAAATTTACTATCCTCCCTAGAAAAAGGGTAAAAGTCTAGACAGATGATAAACATTTACAAAAAAGGTTAGAATGAAAGACTATAAAATGGCCCTGAGATATGGACAGGTGATAGGGTGGTTGATTAATAGGCACAAAGCCCTGGGTTTCATTCATAGCATAGTTTAAACCTGGGGTGGTGGTACATGCCTGGAATCCCAGCACATAGGAAGTAGAGGGAGGAAGATCAGGAATTCAATGTCATCCTCAGCTACATAACAAGTCTGAGGACAGTTAAGGCTAGAAGAGACCTTGCCTCAAAAAGGAGGGAGGGATGAGGCTGGAGAGATGGCTCAGCAGTTAAGAGCACTGACTGTTATTCCAAAGGACCTGGGTTCAATTCCCAGCACCCATATGGTGGCTCACAACTGTCTATAACTCTAGTTCTAAGGGATCTGACACCCTCACACAGACATATATGCAGGCCAAACACTAATGCACATCTTTAGTGTTTTTTAAAATAAATCTAAAGAAGATTTTGAAAAAAAAAGAAGGAGGAATACTACAAAATACCCTCAAATATTAATTGTGGTTATGTCTCTATAGTGCAATCTTTCTGTCATTTTAGGCTCTTACACCAATTAGCTTTTCTGTTAACCATGCATTTATTTATTATTTTATTTATTTATTTTGTCAAGAAAAAAAAATGTTGGGTGTGGTGGCACACACCTGTAATCCTAGCATTTAGGAGGTGGAGAGGTAGAGGAGGAAAATCAGGAGTTCAAAGCCATCCTCAGGAAGGAAATAGGCCTGGACTACACGTGACCTCTTTTTTTTTTTTTTTTTTTTTTTTTTTTTTTTTTTTTTTGAGACAGGGTTTCTCTGTGCATCTCTGGAACTCACTAGTAAATTAGGCTGGTCTTGAACTCAGATCTGGCTGCCTCTGCCTCCTAAATGCTGGGATTGAAGAGACATGGGCCACCACACCCAATCATACCTGATCATTTTAAAACAACAACGGAGGAAACAAGATGAACAAAAAAAGAAGTACAAGTGGACTAAGGGGGAGGAGTGGAGGGATAAGACAGACCGGTACCCGTGTGTCGTGATTGAGGCATCTTAATGCCTAGAGGACAGGGCTGGTTGCCTCAGTTACCTTAGGACAATTCCTGTATTAGTGCTGCTGGTCAGTCCCCTCTTCTTATCAGTGAAAGACAGAACACCTGGTGGAGAGGAGCATAGGCTTTACGTGAGTGATCCGGAGCTCTGGTTGGTCAGATAAAGCGCCTATCCCTAGCGGGGACTGCCTTGCTGTGTGACCTTGGGCAAGTCAGGGCACCCTCCAAGGTGACTCTTTCCCTGGCTGCTCCTTCGCCTGGAGGAGACGTCCCCCTTGTGTTTCTAGAAAACTGGATGAACAGGAAGACCGCATAAGCACCGACTCCCCTCCCAACATCCTTTTCCCTTCTGCCACTCTCTTCTGATTGCACTGGCCTCTAATACATATGCATCTGTTCTCTCTTTCCAGGAAATGATCGAAATGGCCTAGATTTCAACCGACAGGTAAGAACTTGGGTCAGAAAACATTCATCCTGAAAATTCTGGGCGTGTCAGACAAATACAGCATCTGTTCATGATTATTCTCGGTTATCTAGATTTCAGGATGAAAACACCCAGAGTCCATCCTCCTCCTTGGCACCCCCACGATTCAGAGTTGAGGTCTCCCTTCTAGAGAGCTCTGGTCAGTGAGGCTGCTTTCGGATGAGTGTCTGTAGTTGGGATAACTACCTGCTGAGATTCAGCCCTTGACTGGGCCTCTGTGGATCTATGACGTGAACTGTCTGAGGATGGAGAGGAAGTTGCAGAGCCCCAAGGAACAAAGTGGCTCTGCCATAAGAAACTCTTGACCCAACGCAAGATGATAGAGGCCACGGCAGGGAAAGAAACATTCAGACAGAAGCACTCAGGGACTGGGGAAGCAGCCTGGGGGAGGGGGCACAGTGCTTGCCTCGCATGCAGGAAGCCTTTGGTTCCATCCCCAGTATCCAGGAAACTGGGCCTGGTGGCCTGTGCCTGAAATCCACACACGTCAGAGGAGGACAAAGGAAGATCAGAAATTCAAGGTCATCCTTTCCTACTAGCAAGTTCAACCGTCTCAAAACAGGAGTGTGTAACCAGGCTTGGGAAATGGAAGCACTAGGCTTAGGGCTTCGGAAGGCTCATAAAGCAGGTGAAGTTAGACTTAATTCGGAAGGGCATTTCACAGAGCCATGTGGAGTTGAACAATAGCGGAGAAATCAATGGGAATGGTATAGAGAAAGTTGAAATGACACGTCCCTCTAGGTGACAAGCTGGTGGGAAGCCTGGGAGAGGGGAAGTAAGGTAGGGTGTGTTGGGGAGCAGAAGTCTGGACTGATGGCAATAAAGGGAAGCTGGGGGGTGGAACTAAGGGTAGACACAAGGCCAGGAAGCCTGGGTGTTTGCTCCTGTTTATGCCGGTCTCTAACTGGTTAACTTTAAGTGTACACGTGTGTGTGTGTGTGTGTGTGTGTGTGTGTGTGTGTGTGCGTGTGCGTGTGCGTCTGTGTCTGTGTCTGTGTCTGTGTGTGTGGTCTTAGATGATCACCAGGCTCCTTTCCTATACTTTGATACTCCCAGTCCAGGCTTGGGTGGAAATCTTTGAAGGAACCGAGTCAAATGTGCATTACAGGAATTGCATATATTCTTGTGTTTTCTTATCTGAAGATGGAATCCAAAGTTACTATTAACATTTCCTTAAAAGGCTGTTCATTCTAGAAGCATTCTTCATGGTTAAAAAGAGGAAAATCTAGAGTCCTAAACCAAAACCTCTCAGGCAGGCAAGTGATCCACTTTTGTTCATTGGAAAGGCTGAGAACTTTGCCAACTAATGAAAACCAACCACTCTCCCTCTATCTCCAGGTCATAGACCCCATCAAAGAGAGATCTGGGTTATCTATGAGGAAGAACTCGCAGATTAAGCAGGATAATAAATCCTGGAGTAACTAGAGGTGAAGACTCCAGAATTGCTCAATAGCGCTAAATGGGAGACAGGTTCCTATCTGAGAGAAGATACCAGCCAGGCAGACATGGGAGCCCCCACCTGTACACTCGTGCTGTGGAAGGCAGGATTATTACTATGATTTTGAGCCCAGCTTGAGGTGCAGAGTTAGACCCTCAACTGTCCCCAACAAGATGGGACAGAGTTGTAATCTGGGGAGGGGATTGAAGGGAGAGACATGCTGCCTAGGCATTGCACCGTTCCCTGGGGCTTTACTCATTCACAGCCTCTCAAGGCTCCTCTTCTCTGCTCCTGTCCCTCCAAGGCAGTCAGATCTCACTATCCACACTCTCAGAGCACCCTCCTGCCTCTGCTTGGCAGTCATGTCTACTTCCCTTGTACTTCCCGAGGGAAGGCAGCCCACGGTCACTGACCCCCAATGCTGCAGGCCCTTTATCTCATATCATTCCTACTGCATCCAGGAGATAATTATGTGTTGCTAGCCTGACTCTATAGGTGAGGAAATCGCCTTCCAGACAGCCCCACCTTTTTCAGCAAGGACCTGAGAGATTAAGCAATTTGACAAAGGTCGTGCAGTTGGTCAACTGACTGGGCCAGGATTTGAACCCACGCCTTCGATTCTACAGCTTATTTTCCCTTGGTTCCTTTGCTGAATCCTCCTCTGCTTCTCTCCATCTAGATACAGCATTCTTGGGGAGAGGCCTGGGAGCAGAGACTGTGAATGACCTCATTATGACTAAATGGAAGGCAGAGGGAGTGGGGAGAGGACACGAGGAAAGCGTGGCTGTGCTCAGACACAAACAAGGTGTTGTCAGACTCCTTCACAGTGAAGGAGTCTGCTGCCCTTGGTGCAGCCCCTGTGCAAAGCCCCAGGCTAGTTGGTGCAACTCGGGAGTTGCAGTCTGGAGCTGGATGAACTGTAGTTCTGTACTTGCATGATTCAGGGGTGTTGACTTATCCACTGTGTGTGAAGTATGACCACGCTGAGCCAGTGATCTTTAGGAGATAGTTGGGTACAGGCGAAGGACCCAGGACTAGAAGTGCTTCTTTGTAGTGAGATTTTGTTTGTGCTTTCACAAATAAAGCCTGTCTGAAGATCAGAGTGCAGAACTAAGCCACAAGAGGCCAGGCAGTGGTGGCACACACACACCTTTAATCCCAAGACTTGGGAGAAAAACAGAGGCAGACAGATCTCTGTTAGTTCAAGGCCACCCTGGGCTACTCGAAATTGATCCAGTCTAAAAGACAAATAGAGCTCACACAAAGGTGATCCCAGCACTTGGGATCGTATACCAGTACTAGGGAAGTAGAGACAGGAGCGATATGGTTGGGTGGAGAGAGGAGTACAAAGTGGGAGGAGACAGGCGCTCAGTGCAGTCAGATGCAGCAGTCTGAGAAGCAGTCAGTCTGGAGGATGCAGTCATAAGGATGCAGTCTGAGGACAGGATTGCCTCTTGGGTCTGAGCATTGGTGGAGGTTAAGAACCCAAGTGGCAGCTGGGCAGTGGTGGCGCAAGCCTTTAATCCCAGCACTCTGGAGGCAGAGACAAGCGGATCTCTGTGAGTTTAAGGTCAACCTGGTCTACACAGTGAGTTCCAGGGTAGCTCCAAAGCTACAGAGAAACCCTGTCTTGAAAAACAAAACAAACAAACAAACAAATATCTGAACAAACAAATAAACAAAAACAAAGACTCCGAGTTTTTAATATTAAGAACAAGTAGAATTTGTGGCACACCTCTCCGTCCTAGGGCAGATGCAATGGGATTGAGAGGAAGCAGGAGGAGGTCAGATACCTGGATAGAGGCAAGCAGGGGCTTCCAGTGTTGCCTGCCTTTTGTTAGTTGCTGACCTCCCCTTTTTGGGCCTGAGTTTCCCCGTGAACAAAATGAAGAGGTTGGATATGATGTCTCCAAGATTCCTATAATGTATGTTCTAAGAAATCACTATGAGTTGGACCCGGACTTCCACTTTTTGTTTGCTTGTTTGTTTGACAAGGGTCTCAGGTGGTTCATTCTGTCCTCAAGTTCACTATGTAGCTGGTGATGACCTTGAACCTTTGACTCCTGCCTCTGACTTCTGAGTATGCTACCTCAGCTGTCATTATTATTTATATTCTTATAAAAGAAATGGGGTCAAGAGTTAACCTGACCTGTAGAATTCAAGAAAAAGTAGATCCTTGAAAGCCTTCCTAGACTTTTCGATCTTGGGTTATACGATGAAAAGAATCCTTTGTAACACCGGGGCAATGACAGAAAGACCCAGGAGGTCATCTTGCTACCCACTACTGATTCCCTGGATATCAGTTGTTCTTATGTGTGAGACATGGGGTGCCCCTTGTAAGAAGAGAAATTACAGTCTGAGCAGAGAATTTGGTAAGGAATGAGGGGGTTGAGCTCTGCAATATTGCCTGAGAATCTCTCTGAAATGAGGGTCCTGGAAGTGTGTGGCTCAGGACCAGTGGGACTCTTAACTGGCAGAAAGTGTCGAGAGTGTCCCAGGCATAGAAGACAGTGAGTATGAAGACTTCACGCAGAGAAAGGGCTCAATCTGGGGAAACTGGAGAGGTCAGGGAACAAGCTGGCAGAACATGAACCTGGAGCTGTGGGTTAAAATCAGGAAGACCTCTGTATGCTAGCCATGAAGTTCAGAACTTCTGCAGGAAGTAGGAGCTCACGAGGCATTTCAAACATAACTAATACCAGTCAAGGACTGAGTACTGATGGGGCACACAGGTGAGGAAGAGAAGGAGGACAGACGGAGGACAGATGGAGAACGGATGCTGGATAGGTTAAGTGGGATGGTGTTGTAATGGACAGAGCTGGGTAGGTTCACAACCAGGAGACAGCAAAGATGCCAAGTGTATCATCAGAGCCACCTCACCTGGGCTCAAATCCTGGCTCCACGCTACATGATTGTGTGACCTTGGGCATGTTCCTCTATCTCTGTACGGCTCAGTCTCGTCTGGAAGATGGGGAGAATAATGTTATCTGTTGCATGGGATGGTTGTGGAGTTCAAAGGTGACATGAGTGTGTGCCCCTTATACAAGATCCTGAATACATAGACAGTAGCATTTTTCTGTGACTAGCACATCACTGGTTGGGAAAAGTCCCAGATTTGAGAGAACCCTCTTTGAGATAGGATCAGGGGTGTTAGGGCAACAGGGTAGATGTAGACCAAAAAAGAGGAGGTTGGGTAAGATGTGACCTTAAGGCCCCTTAGCGTTGGTGGAACTGTCATCCAAGGACAAGAGGGCAGAGACATGGCCAGTTCATTCAGCAGTGGGTGGAGGAGGGGGGATGGGATACGGAGGTACAGGTACTCCATAGTTAGTGAGAAGTTTGGATCTGGAGCCCAAGCTGGATGTGGGTCAGGACTGAGGCTATTCTGACTCAGGCTCCATGAAGAGATGGGACAGAGAGAAGGGATGCACTCAAGGAAGGGAGAAGGAGCTCTCAGAGATGGGCTAGAGACAGGGTGCTTGTAGATGAGTCTAAGAAGGGACGGTGAAGGGGAGTAAAGGAG